ATGTCCCAAATTCTAATGTGGAAAGTTTGTCTCAAGGTACCAGAGGGGCTACCTTGCAGTTTCTCAATACATTGTTGTACTGTGCTCACCACAAGAAGGTTATGAACACAGCTGGGGTCTCTGCTGTAATACAATAGCTAATGATGATGGTAATAATGGGAATACACTAGATACATATTAGGCAGATTTTGTGATTGTGCTTAAACATTCCTACTGGGTGAAGAACAAGAACTTAATAGCCAACCGTTAACGAGTTCATTATAGCCACCTATCCCAATTTGTAAAAGCAACTTGTATAAGAGCTAATGCTTCAGAGGACCCCACAAAAGAAACTGCAATCTTACAAGAACACTTGCTTTTAACTTGGAGAGAAAATTAGGAAGATGTAGATCCAGAGTTAAGTTATACATTTTGGAACATCTTAGGTTCAAGTAGGTGCCATTCTTAACAGGATAATCATACATTCCTTCCATTTGGTTTATCATGGTATGAAATGCAGTCCTTTTTCAGTTGTGCTGATCCAGAGATCGGTACTAGGCCAGGTTCTGCTCTGTAGAGGCCTGCAATTTGATATAAATGTCAGGATAAAGAAACCCAACGGACAAGAGAGAACAGCAAACCCTGCACAACAGATGATATTGCTATGTCCCCCAACTTGGAGTTTTGGAGGAGACCAACAGACCAAAGCTAAAAGTTATTAAAACATGCAAAACCAATATATGGACCAGTTTTAAAATGTGGGCACCTTTTAGGATGGGACATCCAATTACAACTCAATTTGATATGCATTAACACCAGCAAAAGCCTCCATAAACAGGGTTTTATGTTCTGCTCAAGTACTAAAGAAAATTAGACCTGCATACAGAAGACAGACTGACCCAGAGATGGCTCTGTTCATCTCCACTAGTGGTGCTCCACATTTTTGCCTGGTAGATCAGATGGGTAGTGCCCAGCCCATCTGCAGGCCAGGTCTGGCTGGTGGCCTGGATATGGTGCCTGGGATAAGCGTGGTAGGGCTCCATCTGGCTTTGCAGAGGGAGGGTGCAGCCTGGCACCAATCCAGCTTTGCGGGGGAAGAGAATTTGACTTGGCTCTTCTGGCTGCACTGCACAGGTGGAAGTGGGCATGGCCTGGCTCAGATTCAGCCATGTGGAGGGGATATAGCCTGGCCCCAAACCAGCCATGTGGCCTAGCCCCAACCTGCTGTGTAGGGAGAGAGGTGGCAACCTGGCTCCAACTTGCCACATAGGGCTTGAGAATGTGGCAGTAGGGGTAGGGTGGCAGTATTGCCACTGCTTCTCTGCCACCAAATTCCCTGATCCAAAAGGAGCCCCACAGGAGGCCAGATGCCATGGCCCTGTGGGCTGTATTTCATCCATGGGCCGGAGGTTGAGCACCACTGAACTACAGAATGCAGCAGCCTACTTTGATCTCAGTGTGTTAAAATACTTTCAGCTGAGTTGTTGAGCTTCCGAAGTCAAATAATACCAAATGTTGCTCAATCTTTTTTTGTAAAACAATGATGCAAGAAGAGTACAGTGGCCCTAATTGGTCTCACTGAGAAACAGGAGTTGTTAAAAAAAAGACTGAGCTATAGCAACCAAAGAGTTATGATCTGACCGTTTATGTATTTAGTTCATACTTTAAAGTTTACCCAATGCCTTGTGTATATATGTTCCTGAAATATTTGCATAGCAAATAGGAGACAGAGCAGCAATTCAGAGGGAGATCTGATGTGCCTTCCAGTTCCCCCTAGTCTTTTTAAAGACAGTACAGCTTCTGTGGCTGAATGCACAGTGTTCAACAGTCATCTGACATTGGTAAACTATTAAATTTTCATGTAACAGCTATTCTTGAGAGATTAACCATGTGACATTGAAGACAGTGTTAAAAGCCACCTAAACACAAAGGCTTTTTCACAAAGCAATCAATCCCACAGAGAGCGCACTGGAGTTGTCATGAGGGAGAGGAAGCTGTGACAGTTTCTTAACTGTTGATTTTTTAATGTCTTTTGTAAAATGGGGTTTAGGAAAGAGATGGTAAAATCTTTTATCTGTCCTTACTATATTTGGTTTCCACAGAGCATGTTGGAGGTATTGTAGAGCTTTCACAGTGCAACTGTGTTGTGGATAGGGAGGCAACATCATAGATACATACCTCCAACTATAATCATAGCAACATTCCCGACTGGACATTGGGCTACTAGGAAACACTGTGAAATGGTGCTGGCTGGTGGTCTGTGCACTTGGACTGTGCCCCCCAATAAAGTTTAAAAGAACTCACATAAACATTGCAAGCATGAAAGTAGTTAAAGATGGAAGCTTTCCCACCGGCCTTCTTAGTATCTGCACAAAACTTGGGCACACTTTTTGCACACAAACTATACATTTTAGTTATAAAGGCGCATGTACATATATTTGCAATTGGGGCTGCAATACTCACATTCCTGTATAAACAAAAAGGCTTTTTCTTAAAGAATCTCTAATACAAGCGACAGGAGTAAAATTGCACATGGAAAAACAAAAAGCAAACAATAAACCTCAGCACATACAATGTACTTGCACATAAAAATGAACCCAGGGTGGAGCAGCTTTGAAGAAAGGCCTTGAAGTGGAAGTCTAAATGATTTGATAATAGTCACAGGAAATGGAACATTTGGAGTCTAGCATACTATGGCTAAAAACAGGGAATTTAATACGGACCATAAAAAAATACTGCATCTAATTATCTTCCATGGCTGTATACCAAACACATTTGTTTCCTTCCACCACTGTTGTTTGTATATTTTATCAGCAGAATTTTTTAAGATACATTTATTTTCAGGACAGTAATTATTCTAAACAGTTTTAAACTTACCATTCACAAATTCTTATAGTGATATATTTTTGGTAAACATTTGTGCCCTTATTTCTAGTCATTTCCACATGAAATAAAGAGGTATTTTTAATATCTCTGTGGCCTCAGAGTGCTTGTACATGTAAACTTTGTGGTCCCTTTCTGAAGCAGGTACTAGCCTTAATTTTAGAAACTGGGAAACTGAAACACAGAGATGTTAAAGTAGAAATTGAAGCCAACAGGAGTTTTATTAACTGACTTGAATGGGGGCAGGGTTAGGCTAACTCGCCAAATTGAGAGCACTTGAAAATCCTATACTACATGATTTAGAATCTAACAGCAAGTGAGCAAGTGGAATAGAAATGTCTGAATGCTGGACTATTCACCCTCTCCTCTGCAATCTGTGGGAGCAAAGGCAGACACTCTTCCCATACATTATTCAGATAGAAATGTTATCTTTTTGTTCTCACATTTCAGAGACTCCTACAGCTAATGGCAAACTGTTTGAGAAATGAACCAGACTGGCCAGAAGACAGGCCAAGAAAGGTAATTTTTCAGTTTCTAATAACAAAAGTAATACTGAGTTTCAGAAGAATGTTTTATTTCACCATTAATCAGCAATTGTGATGTCTATTGACTTTGTTCACATTATTGCCGACTTGAAAAAAAATCCAAGATGGGAATGCTATGAACAAACAGCACAGGCAAGCTGAAGCCGCTGTTTCATTTGTCATGTAGGCACCTGAATTAATTTTATGTTGGTAATTTGACTTCCAGGTTTCACATGCCCTTGACTAGGCTGCAGGTTATTTGCCCTGAGACAGTAAATAAAAGGGACCCGAAATAACTTACAAAGGGCTGAAAGCTCAACTCCTTGGAAGATTAAATGCATCTGAAAGACAGTTAAATCAGTGTAATTCTCTGCAAAAGTTTATCCTCATATTTCCAAGTCTCCCCATTACAACTAGGGCCAATGTATTTGAATTAGCTTTTCTGAATATGTATTTTACCCTGTAGAAAATATCATGCTCTGGACTTTTGATGGGGATGCCAAGTCAGCCTTCATTACTGGTTAAGAGCCACTGGCTGAGTGGCCAAGACACTACATTAGGATTCTGACACTGGGTTCTATTCCCAGTTCTGCCACTGGGCTACAGTAGAGCCTTGAACCAGTCCCTTTACCTCTCCACACCTCTCCAGGAGCTTCCTCCTGTGAAACAGGACCTCTTTTGCAAAGCACTTTGATATCTACGTATGAAAAGTGCTATAAGAGGCAGGTGCTATATTATCCCATTCACTAGAAAAACTCTACATAATAGGGATTAGAAGATAATTCTTACTAAAATGTATCTTCCCCCCACAATCCCCAAGGAACTCATGGGAGGGAAGTGGGGAAAGTCCAGGAGTTGATAAATCTTAGTTCTTGTTTTATCTTTCTACCTGGCATGGCATAGTTGTAAGTCCACACAGTAGGCATGGCTCATTCATCAGATACTTGGAGATCAACGGGCTAGAAGGCTTAGAGCAGACTGCATAGACGTTTACACTTGAAGGATCATCATCAGTTTCATAAAGAATTCCATTCACTCTTCCAAGGAATGTCTTGAGATGAAATTAATAGAACTCCTGTCCCTGACCTTAGTTATGCTGTGTTGTGTTTACATGGAGGGGCCTCAGTGTGATGCTGTCACTTTTGTAAATTTCTCTCACTCGAAGTGGATTTGTCCATTCTATAATGCAGGCTGCTTGGGGGTCTGTGCTCTCAAAACACAGGGAACACAGAAAACATAACTGTATGCATACAAGAATGAAAAAACTTCAAGGAACTATTAGAGAAAAACAGTATCTGCCGCACATTATGTGAAACTATTAGTTTGCCCAGCAGCGAACTCTAGTGGATGAAATTATAATAATAAATAAGAGAATAATCCAGTTCATGTTTCAGAGAACAATCTTGTTTTCTACCCAAATCTAGTATTTGCCTACTCTTGCTAAGAAAAGTATTTTAAAATTACTGTCTGACTGATATTTAGCAAATTTTTAACACCTGATACAGTACCTCATATCTGTCATAATCACATATTTAATATCAACAGTGCCCATGCAATAAAGTAGAAAGCAAGATCTGAAAGAAAAGGAAATAAAAACACGACAACCAAAGCAGATCACTCCAAGATAAAAAGTTTATTGTACTAAGCTTTCAAATAGGCATCTGTTTGCAATCCTTACACAAATACAGTACACGTGTAAAGGGCTAGTTTGGTAGGTACTAGTAGAAAATGGAATGCAATTCCCTTAGCAATTATTATTCATAAATTAGTCAAGACAGTTAAATTTAGGACCTGATCTGAAATACATAAGAAAACAAAAAATATCCTTATTATTGGGCATAGTGTCTTGTATGGCACAACTATGCATAAGAGTAGGTATAGTGTTCACAGAGTCAGGCCATAATTTTGAGTCCTGGTAGACATATCACAGTCATATCTTCACTAATAAGTATTAATGAAAAAAGTGTCAAGCCAAAAGTTTTCAAGCTCTAAAATGCAAATACAAATGCTGGAATAACTTCCTACAGAAATGAAAACAAGATAAATTCATTAATTGCAGGAAGCATTTTATTGGGGGAAATATAAGAAAAAGGGAGTGGAATTGTAGATTTAAGAAAATGATTCAACAAACAAACCTTCTGCTGGCTGTCATTGGATGAGCTTGTATTAAAAAATCCAAATCCTAATTTAAAAAAAAAATTCGAGAAATGAGTATAAGAATAAAGGAAATCAACTTATAATATATATATATATATATAATTAATTAATTCACATTTAGCTTATATAGCCCTTTATGTATTTTATAAAATTTTAGTTTTCTACATAATGAATGTTAAAAAAAAATATATAAAGGCAAAGCCCCCAGTGTGGCATTTATAACAAAGTACTTTACTATAAGGAGACCCACTGTGAGTTATGATATAGCGAGGAGTGAATGCTTCATTTGTGCGTTATGTCAGTTATTTCAATCTTAAAATGCCCTTTACATAGTCTTGAGCAGGAATAATAATCTCTCTCAGATCTGTTTGATCAGCGATTCCTGCCCCAGTGCTAAGTGCAGAGAAAGAGAAGGCAAAAAACCACAACAAAATGAGCCTTTATAGCCCTGAATATTTTCCAAGACATTCACATGATCTGCTAAAAAAATAATGTAGAGCAATACAGTGCAATAAGAGTACATAAAATGTCACCCCTGTGATGAAATATCTTTCTGTTTAAACAAAGCTGCCTTAATGCTCTCTTCTTCCAGAGTCATAAACATCCAGGCTACATAATGCACTTTAAGAGAGGATGACAATTATTCTTAGGCATCCACTTTGTCTTACTGAATGACATCTTAAAACTTCATGCTGAAAACTTTCTGGTCTGTAAACAATGCAATCAGTCCCCAAATATGCCTGAGGACTAGGCGTGTGTATTCAAACTAGCCAGATACTTCTCAAAATGGTGCAATGTTAACTCCAGCAGTTTCTAAGCTGATTTTATTTCCCAGGCCCCAGTGAAAGTTTCTCTCTTGATAAGCCTAGCCCGTGGTGTGTCCATTAAGACTACATTTAAATAAATATAATCATGGGCTAGAAAGATCCATTTATCTACCTCTTCATCCATCAGAATCTTCTTTTAAAAGATATTTCAGGGGTACCCAGATCGTTTTGCAACACACCTCTCTCCACTGAGAGGTCAAATTAACCTTCTGGTTAACCATTTTTGGCCCTTCCTTTCTTAAGATACTAGGGAAAGAGAGAGATGGCATGACCTGTGAGAAGCAGTCAGGCTGATTGGTCAGACAAGGCTTGGTCCAACCCCCACCAAAAGTCTTTTAAGTTAAAGAACAAGAAACATGTTTTATTTACTTGACTGGAAGTTAGATCAAGTCCACAGAGACCAGTGGACCCTGTCATTTTAGGCACTGAAATGCAGTTAGCAGAAAGAAATACAATTCATTTGCCAATACAAACAGGAACTACTGGGAATTCCTTGATGTGTGGTATGAAGTACAGCTCTTGGTAGCTGACGGTTAAGGGAAAACAGCAGCATGGCAGCTCTGAGCAGTAGGTGCCACGAGAATGCCCCCTCCCCCTCCAAAACAACCCCAAATATATAAAAACACAGTACAGTATATGGACGAACCACAGAGCCCCATACTGGAGCATGTTCTGCTAAAAAACCTGTCGCTTTTCCTTTCTAATGGAATTCTAAAATAGCTTAATATGTATGAACAGCAAGAGAAATGTAGGAATACAAAATGTGAAGAAAGAGGAATAAAAACTGAGGGCAGATAATGTCCCCTTTAAAATACTACACTTAAAGGATTAAATCCACTTTAAAAATAGGTTTTAACTAGTCTGACAATTTGTGACCGTCTACGTACCATGACATCACTAAATGAAGAAAGTTAATTAAAATGCCAATCTCTTCCCTCCCTCCATGAATAGGTATTATCACTTGCTTGCTATTAATATTGCTTAAATTAATGCCAGCAAAAAACATGCACACCTGCAAACTGAAAACTGGTTCTATATACACTACAGAATAAAAAAGTTCTGGAAAAGCAAGCTACTACAGGAAGATTTGACTCAAAGCCAATGGGATTTTCTCCACTATCTCTAGTGGGTATTTGATGAAGTCCTTAGAAGAAAACTGGAGATGGAGAAATGATTAAATATCATTTGTGTCTTGTACTGTACGAACATTCACAAATGCATACTTATATATAGTGCAAGTTTTGTATCATATATCTTAAAACATCTGCATTTTAGGCAGTAAAATGGCAGTCACCAATCCAACACTGCACAAGTCTATCAAACTAGGTTGAAAAAACTATAGCAATTCATTCTCAATCACGTTGCTATGGTTGTCTAGTGAGCAGTTTCTTATGGAGCTTAGTGTTAATCCACTTGAACCCAAGTAAGAATTGGAAAGGCAGAAGCTGCACTTGTAAAATTGCACAATTAATTTTAAATATGCTCTGGATGACTCTGAAGGCAAGATATCATCTCTTGGACAGGTCTTCCTTCATAGCAGATTTGATAAACAGCTGTGAACAGTGGAAACCTAGGAAAAGAAAAAAAGAAAGTAAAAAAACACCACAAATTATTCTATATCTACTTAGGTGGGAAAGAGAGAGAGGGTCTAAGATTTCTTTTAGAATCCACAAAGCACCTTCAGTTGTGATGGGAAGCACAGCATAAAGAAAATACAACATTTACAGTACACATATTCATTAAGTGATAAACATTGATGCACCAAAATGGAGCCTGCAATGTCTGATGCAACTTGGCCGTTTACTTATTTCATGAACAGAAAATGTATTTTATGAAAGAAAAAAAACCGCTTGACTCTTTCCTCAGCTACAAAAGTTTATTCATCACTGCTTATCAATGACTTAGTGCAAAAAATCAGGATATCAAAAAAGCCCCTTTTGATCAATCCAGATCAATAGGCTACGGTTTTCACATGTAAGAGCCTAGTTAATGGGATACTTAAGATCATACTTGGATTTTCTTGCTATATCATTGTTTAATATTTATAGTACACCCAAGCAAAGATTTGCACGAGTTTTTAAACTCCCATTTCAGAAGAGGGCCAACATATTATAGACAGTTATTTGGGAGGGGCAGTTTAGTCAGGGATGCTTCTGCCTTGAGCAGCAGGCTGAACTACATGACCACATGAGGTCCTTTTCAGCCCTACTTTCCTATGATCCTATATTAATAAACTAGGAACTGGCAGAAGATAATGAAATGACAACTGGAAGACAGGTGCAAATTACTTTACATCTTTTACAGTCTACTGAATGTTCCAACTGCTGTGTAATAGTGAAGGGCACTATAGATCTTCCAAAAATGAGGCCACCAAGAAGTTGCTATGGAACTGTACTGCTGTTAGTAGTGATGCTGGTGTACAACAGTAGTAAACTATAGCACAGTTAATTTAATTTTGATTGAAATAAGAAAAGAAAATGCTACATTCAGCTCTGTACTTGCCAAATGGAAAAACAGAAAAAAACTCCCCCAAACCCAATGTTATTTTAACACATCTAAGAGAATATTACAATCAATGAGGATTGAAAGCAATGTTTTAATGACTTTTTCTCTTCAATCAGCCTAATTACCATAATGTCTATGTTGCAGAGATAGGACTGTGTCTTTATTTCTAGAGCAAGTGTTAAAAGATAGGCAAGCAGATGGTGCATTGAAATTATACTTTAAAAACTGTTGAGAAAAAAATTGTTAAGAAGGACTGCCAGTCAAAAAGACCAAACAGTTCACTTTTATGACTTTACCACATCTAAAAAAGGAAGACATGGGATTAGGGAGGAAGAGATTAAAACAACACATTATCCAGTCTTACTAAGTATAGACTACATATGGCTATAGGAATCACACATCTACAGATTGACATGCATAAATGAAAATCAAGACAGCTTGATTCATTAAACAACAGGAAGTGTGAAGTTAGATGCACAGAGGAGAGGGCAGGTTCTATTTTACAATGAACTGAGGATTAGATGGGTAGTACAATATCAAAGATAACATTTAAACTTTGACCCTTCTGGATGATGAAAGCAGCCTCCATATACAGCTGGCTGGATTTACATAATTTTATTAACAAGCACTCCCTTTCGTTGGAGATAAACAATGAATTTAACTAGCAAGAAATGAGCTAGATAACCTGTAAATAAAGTTTACTAAGCAGCTCAGTTTTTATTTGCTTTCTAAAATGCTGATATTTCTACTTCTGCAACACTTCTGAGTTACTCAAGGCCTTAAGTAAGTATTTGTTTGTATTATTAGTTTCATATGCATCTTAAACAGAACATCCATCAGACAGGACAAAAAATATTCCTTCATTTATTCCTTTATTTACTCCCAGCCAAAACAAGGTTTTTCTCCCCCTGCACCAATCAACACGGGAAAAATAAATCTTCATCTTAGGTACTGGCCCAGGATGGGCGGCGGCTAAGCTCTGGTTCCAGGCCCACCACCCAAGTTGGAGCTGCCCTGGGCTGGGCTGGCCCATGCAGCAGGGAGAAGACTTGCAGTGAGGGGAGCAAGAGACCTGCAGTGTGCAGCTTTGGGGGGAAGCATGAGGGAGACTAAACAACCTGATGCCCTCCTGCCACTTGCCCCCCAACACACTTGGCCCACCCTGCTGCTTACTTTCAACTCTGGCCCCAGCTCCTCTGGCCCTGACCTGCCGCCACTGCCAGGACCACTGACTCCCCAGAGCCGGAGTCAGAGCCTCTGCAGAAGGTAAGCAGTGGGGCTGGGGACAGGCAGAGTTGGTACTGGGGACAGTGAGAAGTGGGGCAGGTGGCAGACAGGCAGTGGGGGTGGGTTCCAGCAGCAGGAACAGGAGGCAGCAAGGGGCTGGGGTCTGGACCCTCACCCCTTGTCACTGGTTTTCGTCACCACATTTGTCAGTTGCTGGGGGAGTTGGGGGGAATAATTTTAATGATGGCACCCTCAATAATTTGATTATATATATGGAAAATTATAAACAATCTAATTATAGAGGGAATCACCTCAAAATTTGATGTCTTAGACTCAGATAAATATGGTAGCTTCACTTTAAGACAGAAGTTTTCAAACTTTTTGAGCTGATCCCCCTGTTGAGTTAGTTTTGTTCACGCTGCCCCCACGCATTCCCCTCACACCAGATTAGCACTGCAGCCAGGCACAGGGTGCCCCTTATTCTAGCAGCTGCCATGGCTTGGCTTGGCAGGGTGGGCTCCACCTGCCACAGCTCCAGCGCCTCTTGCCTTGGCACCGCTGCAGCTCTAGGCTGTGCGCCTGATGTCCCAGGCTCTCAGAGGTGCAGCAACAGCCCGCTAGCACAGCCTGCCCAGGGCTCCCCGCCCCCACACCTCCCCCCTCCCAAGGCTGCAGTGGCACCAGCTCCTTGCAAACTTCTTGCCCATCCCCCCTGCACTGCACCCCACAATGTTCCTTGATGGCTCCTCAAGGGGGAACAGTTTGAGAATCACTGCCTTAAGGTTATAAATCACACGCAGATAAAAAGATTTCCTTTTTGCACCACAATTTATTCCTGTTTGCTTCCGAGCAAGAAATAATGCTCTGTGCACTTGAGAAAGCCTGAAAACAAGTCTTTAACTTTGTTCCAAACACACACCATGGCCAGTTTTGTCAAATGCCTTTCAGGTTATCTGTACACACTGATTAACTAGCAGACTTTCCTCTATCTTCTAAAAAGACTAAAAAAACCCAGCCTGATACCATCATAATAGTTTCCTCTCTGACAACCAAAATAAGCAAAGTAACCTTACTTTCTTTATGATATATAATTTTTGCATGCTGTTTTACTCTGGAATAAGCAATGTTTGCTAGGCTCTTTTGAGCTTATTTTAACAAGTACTTTCTGTCCTTGCAGTAGTAGGACCCTGACAGTGCTCTCATCCCCCTGCTTTGTCTGCGGCAAGTTAAAGGTGTTTTTGGTGTTTGGGGCATTATGGCTGGTGGCTGTGTGTAAAGCTTGTTCCTAGAGTTTAAGAACAGAATGCTTGGTCAAGGATGGTTTAGACAGGGATGATCCTGCCTTAAGCAGGACTAGATGACTTTTTGATGTTCTTTTCAGCCCAATTTTTCTATGATTCTATGCTGAACTATGTAAACAGTTACCAAGCAGCCAAGCGGCAAATGTGGAAACAGCATTCTTGATCTAATGAGATTAACCAATACATGCCAGGTGCACTCCAGGAATTATAAATATTTATCAAGTCTAGTAATGTGGATAATGCTTTTCTCTTATGGGTTGACACTGCACCTAATGCAGGGTGCTCAGCACCTGATATGAACAGGCCCTGTTCCATCCACTTTCAAAGAGATCAAATTTGTTCTCATTATTTTTAATTTGCTAGTGGTTACAGCAATCTTCATTTCCGATTCATAACACTTCCTGTTACTTTGAGTAGCAATGAACAGAGCGTTAGACAAAACCTGTTTATAGTCACTAGAACATTTATTATGGTCAAACAGTCAAATAATAACTACAAATTTATCAATAAACTAGCTACTTTCCCTAACAGAAAAAATCAAATATTGCTTTAATGTTCTCCCAGAGTAAAGCCAAAACCAGCCAACGCCAAACCACGAATTCCAATAGGCCAGGTCCCCTGAGCCACTACCATTCCTTCCCCCTTTCCCTGTATTATGTTCTGCCTCTGTGGCAACAGTTTCTCATTAACCCTTGACTCCATGGCAGCCCATTTATAGAAACTCCTCTGTCTATCTTGGTTGAACTAAAGCGCACTTCCTCTGCTCTACGTTACAACTCACTGGGCACAATAGGGTACCAGGATAGCTTTGTAGGAGCATTCACCATATGAAGACTGCACTCGTAGCTCTAGTACTTGTAATCTGAAGTCCTATTGATCCAGTCTTTCAGTCTTTTAATTTATGCATTGTTATTGGGATTTAAGACACTTTCATTGCCAGATTTTACTTTTTGACTACTACCTTCTTGAAGCAAGGTATCTTAGCAAAAAGCATGGAGTTAAAAAAAGAGGAGACAAGAACTTGCAACAGATTCTCTTACTTACTTTTTCACTAACCCTTTCTGCTTGAGGATGCGAAACACCTCTGCAGAAGTCAGTGGTCCTTGGAGTTTCTGACCGTTAAGCATCTCCTGTTCCAATTCTTCAATGGACTTAACATTATTTTAAAAAAAGAAAGAGACTTAATTACAACAAAGCTTTTACAAACGTAATTCTTCATTTTGAAAACAAGGTTCATTCAGACATGGCAAGTGGCTTTTATCCTCTGCTGGCTGACCCCATTGTTTCAGCATGGGAAGGCAGCTGTTCAGCTCTGCCCAGCTGAGGGTGGTAGCACATAAATCTTAAATTAATAGCCACTTAACACAGGTCACAGACATACAGTAAAGATTTCATGGCAGAAGCTAGCTAACGTCATGGCAGAACTTTAATATATTTTTTCCAAAACTAGCTTCAGGATTTCATAAATACTATTTCCTACATACTTGCACAAAAACATTCCCCCCACCCTTCCATGTCTCTTCACTTTGTCATTCTAGCTTGGTAAACCTGTGGGCAACCCAGAATGGCATCTAGCCAAGTATTCAGTATCTCGCAATAGCAGAGAGTAGATGCTAAGGGAAAGAATACATATATATGACTTACCCAGATTGATCTGTTCCTTGCCCCTCTTCCCTTACAACTTCCAGCATTCAGAGACCTAGGAAGTCCTAATTTGTAAGTGGTACCCCTAACTATGATATTTAATACTTACTGATAGACCTATCCTGTGTGAATTTTCCAATTCTCTTTTGGATCTCATTAAATTGTCAGCCTCTACATCTTGTAGCAATTAATTCCACAAGTTAACTGCCTGCTATGTGAAAAAAACTTCCTTCTGTTCATTTTAAACCTTGCCACTTGCTAATACCATATTTTTGCATATATAGTACATGACAGAATATAATACGCACCTTTATAGACCTCTATCATATCCCCCATTGTTTTCCGTTCTCTGAGCTAAGTCCTAGCCTATTTAGTCTTTTCTTCATGCTTAGTTTTTTTTTTAAACAACCACAAACCTGGCTCTCTCTCCTACTCCCAACATACTCTCTCTATGGCAAAATTTGAAAAGACAAAATCAGAGACAGGCCAGGACATATACTAGTCACACTGACTGGAGTTAAACTACACTATTACATTGACAAGGCAGAAGCATCAGAATTGATGTTATGGGGGAGCTTTTTGCAACGATGGACATCACACAACACAAGCGATACTGTACCTTCCCCGATTTAACAAATGCTTCAGCCACTCTTCGGTTACGGCCTCCGTAACATGTGGTAATCAGGTCAGCCACTCCACAACTCTCCAGAAAAGTAGCTGTAGATACCTGCCCCTTGCAAAAAATTTTTGCAAATGCAATCATCTCCATTAGGCCAAGTCGAATAACAGCAGCTTTGGTATTATCGCCACAGTGAAGCCCGTCACAAAATCCAGCTCCTACCGCCACTATGTTCTAATGAAAGGAAAGAAAAAACAAACAAATACACAATAGGAAATTAATTCAATGACCTGAAGTCAAAGGAGCACAGAGTACTAGCATTCTCTTAATAAGTACATACGTGAATCTACTGGCTTGGGTCTGAGACAGCTGAATGGATTAGATACAAAAGATAACGTTAAAGTTAAGAAATAGATGTTTCAACAGCGAAATGAAAACAACATATTCAGCCAAGCTACTGCAGGAAGGTATCAAGCACACTTCTCTGTACCAGTTAAAATGAAGTCCATATAATGCAGATGGATAGACAGAACTATCCCTTAGTAGGCAATATCACTATATAAAGGAAAGATGGTGTTTAAACTCCCACCCACCAGTGACATTGCACTGCTGATAGAAACAAGTTCTACATCCCTTCCTACATGAGAAGACTCCAAACCTTGGTTGCAAACAAAAGTGACAATTTTTGCCTGATGTGGCCACAGAAAGCAGTTTATAGCTGTGACCAAACAAGTGCAAAGCTACAAAAAGCTTCAAAAATGGCTGATTGGGTAAAAATCTGAACCCTCATTGCATGAGGGGTCAGATGAAGATGTTTTAGAACACAGCATCTTTTATAACTTCTATCTGTGCTGCCTGCAGGCCTTCAACTGTTTTCAGAATGGGACAGGGGGAAATAGAGCGGAGAGAGTTTGGCCTGGGGTTTCTTCAACCCCTGGAGGAGGATGGGGTGGGTGGTATTGGAGGCCTTCCCCTCCCCCCCCCAGGTGGGACAGCTCCAATTCACCC